CGTAGTCCAAGCAAACGCATTCGTGGTCTGTAGAAACGTGATGGACTGTGATCTTTAAGCTGATGGTCCTAACGTTAACGGTAACGGTAATGTTCGCGGCAACGATGGTCATAGACGACAGGAGTCGCGAGTGACGAATATTGCAGTCACAAGTGACGAATATTACAATCACGAGCGACGGACGATGTATTACAAGCAACGGTGATATCTAGCGGATTTCACATCTAGCGGGCAATTGAAGCCAAACTGATTTTGTACTCAAGATTCTATCATTTGAAAGGAATTGCACGTTTGTGCATATTTTGTTTCAAACACTCTTTGTCGGAATATACGCAAATTGGGTTTTGTTGAAATGCTCCTGATGCGACTAGTGTATCTTGAAACTGTTCAGAAGCTTTTATCAGACGCTATCAAAGCTTCTACTTCATGGTGATAACAAGGCTATAACTTACAACGAGGTTGTAAGTGCTTTCTTGGCGGTCAAGGTAGAACATGAGATGTTGTCATTCTTTCGTCCACTTGCTTCAAGTACTGCACTTACTGTGATCTATGATGAATTCCAAACGTCGGATCTTGATTTGCAACGTACAAGATTCAAGCGGCAGAGAACCAATTGCTATGAGCATATGAGAATTCAGTTTCAAGTTCAATCCTCTAACAAAAGTAACTTGAAAAACTTGGTGTTTTGGAGATGTGACAATAATGATCACATCAAGAAGTACTATGGGATGATAATCAGAGATACAAATTTCACTCAAGTGGCGAATGTTGCGGAGCATCTTCACTCCGAAGAGGACAACGTGTGTGTCGATAGTCTATGATGTCAGAGGTATGTACTCTCTAGTTCACCAAAAGATGTTGGTGATGTATGGATTTTGAATAGTGTATCATCATTTGATATTGTCATATTAGATATTATCACATTTGTTACATTAGAGAGTTCTTTAGTACTTTCTCATGATCAAACGGTTTAGTTCTTACGGACAATGACCAACCTTGTAAAATTGAGTATGTTGAATCTGTAAAGATCTGCATGTTTGATGGTGTCAACCGTACGCTAACACATGTTAGGTTTATACCTAAAAGGAGAGAGAACTTGATTTCTCTTGGGATATTAGACTCACACGGCTTAGAGTGTAGCTCTATGCAAGGCGTGTTATATGTCAAATTGAGTGATAAGAAGGTTCTACTGAGGGGATACAAGCACAATAATTTTTACTTGTTAAATGGCACCACTATTCGTGAAAAAGTTCACTTTACCAAATCTCGCATAGATATGTCTCATGTATGACATTCTCCACTAGGTCATATGAGTGATAGGTACGTGTCTCTTCTTGCTATGAAAAAGATGTTACCGGATTTGGGTAAAGTTGACTTGGCCTTTTTGTGAACATTGCATCATGATCAAACACCATAGATGAGCTTTTATTGTTGGAAGTCATAGTTCCACGGAGATACTGGAGTATGTACATAGTGACTTGTGGGACCTTTCTACTATTGTCTCACTTTTAGAAAAGCTATACTATGTATTTTTTATAGATTTTTTAAGTATTTTTTAGAGCTTGTCTAGAACGCAAAGGCAGCCCGACAGAAATCTTATTGTATAAATCCCAAATACGTTGAGGTAGTGAAAGTAGAGTTGGGAAAACTACTCAAAGTTGGCTTCATCTTACCAATAGAGAATACTGAATGGGTATCTCCCATCACGTTAGCACCGAAGAAAAATGGCAAGTTACGAGTTTGTGTGACCTACAAGAAACTCAACGATGTTACGAAGAAAGATAGGTATCCCATTCTGTTTTGTGACGAGGTTCTCGAGGAGGTGGGAGTACATGAACTGTACTCTTTTGTGGATGACTACAGCGGGTACCATCAAGTGCGAATTGCGGAGGAAGATCAATTGAAGACCACGTTCACGTCATCATGGGGTATCTAATGTTACGAGGTAATGCCCTTTGGACTCTTCAATGCTCCAGCTACTTTTCAACGGCTTATGAATAAAGTTCTGGAACCGTACTTAGGACACTTTGTACAAGTGTTTATGGATGATTTTGGAATTTATGGAGATAGGGCTTCTCACTTGGAGAAGTTAGAGAAGGTTTTTGAGCGCTTAGATGAATGAGGAATTACACTTAGCACAGAAACAACTAAGATTGGATTTTCATCTGGTAGATTAGTGGATCACATCGTTTCCAAGGAGAGAATTGGTCTAGATCCGGAGAAAATAAAGGCTATTGTAGCAGCGTCCTTTCCTACCATCAAACGTGGAATTAGAGCCTTTCTGGGATTAACTGGTTATTATCGTCGGTTCATTCACTGCTACGCGATGATTGCCAAACCATTAACTAGGTTCTTAAAAAATGATAGTACACTTACTCAAGCCACACCGGATGCATTAGAGGCTCTTGGAACACTCAAACAATCATTGTTGTCAGCACAAGTTTTACGAACTCCAGATTGGGAGAAACAAATTTATGTTTTTACAGATGTATCTGGCGAAGGAGTGGGTGCAACGTTGGCACAGTTGGATATAGAGGGATATGTTCATCCCATATATCAGGCTAGTAGACAACTCGCATCAGCAAAAATGAACTACACAATCACATAACGAGAAGGGTTAGGTGTTATCTTTGCTTTGAAGAAATTTTGGCATTACTTGCTGGGAACACGAACAACGGTGGTGACAGATCATCAAGCTTTGATTTATCTTCTCAATAAGCCAAACGCGACGGGAAGTATTGCACGTTGGATCGTTTTACTTCAAAATTTTGACCTAGAGATTTTACATCGCGCGTGGCGAAGCATGGCAATGTTGATTTTATTTCACGGATGGAGAAGGAGGTGAGCATTGTTTCCGAGGATGATGACTTTCCCAACGCAACGTTGATGTCAATCGACGTTATCAACCAACCGGAGGAGTATAGAGATATCATCATATATCTCCAAGGTATGACTTTTTCAGAAGATGCAACTAAACAAATTAGGACAAGAATCGAACATAAGAGTCAATTTTACATCTTGATTGATCAATTGTTATATTTTTCTAGGAGAGATGGTGTACTTCGACGCGCGATAGGGAAAGCAGAAATACCACGGTTGTTATGGGAATTTCATGAAAGGTTTTGTGGGGAACATTTTGCGGATCGCATTACAGTGGAGAAGATCTTGATGGCCGGATACTATTGGTCAACTATGTTCAAGGATAGTTTTGACTATTGCAAACGTTGTGAAATATATCAAGCATTTGCCAATAGGTCGACGGTTAGCGGTGTTTTGCATCCCATTCCTCCATTAGGTCCATTTGAGAATTGGAGTATTGATTTGATGTAACCTTTGCCAGTTACAAAAAGAGTACATAGTTTCATTGTAGTTGCCACGGATTATCTCACAAAGTTAGCGGAGGTTTGAGTGTTGAAAACTTCGGTCAAGACAGAGGTCGCACGATTTCTGTATGAATGCATCGTTACCCGCTTTGGCACTCTGTTAGAGATTGTCTACTCAATTCACGAGCAAGTTGTGGGCAAATCTGTTGGAAAGCTTAGCGATTAAGCATAGGTTTACGACTATGTATAAACCAAGTACAAACAGACTAGTAGAACAGACAAACAAGATACTGTGTTCTCTGATTACAAAGGAAACGCAAACTAGATTGAACACGAGCAAGTGGGATCTCAAGATCCATCATGCAATGTGGGTATATAACTCAACATTCAAAACGGCTACAAGATTCTCTTCATTTCGTTTAGCCTATGGCATGGAGGCTCTACTTCCGATAGAATATGAATTGATGACGCTTCGCACCACTTCAAACGCACATTTGGATTTAGATGAGTCACAACGAAGAAGGCTTGTACAACTTAATGAATTGGATGAGTTCCAACTGCAGGCAAGGCAGTCAATTGAGGTGGCTTAAGCGAAAATGAAGAAGGCGTGGGATGCAAAGGTAAAGAAGCGGGTGTTCAAGACGGATGACTTGGTGTTGTTATAAGACTCACGGCACTTCCAAAGGGCTCACAAAAAACTGCTAGCCAAGTGGTTTGAACCATATGAAATTCACAAGGTCTTCGCATCAAACCCAAGTGGTTTGAACCATATGAAATTCACAAGGTCTTCGCATCAAACCCAAGTGGTTTGGACCATATGAAATTCACAAGGTCTTCGTATCAAACGGCACTTACTCCATGCTGAATTTGGATGACACAAAATATCGAGATAAAGTTAATCATGATAAATTAAAGAAAGCTTATGTCGACATGTTAGACTAGTAAAAATCCGAGAAGATTTTACTATAAGTTTGGGGTGAATGTTAGGCAGTTGGGAAGCTTTTAGACTTCCAATATTTGTTTGTTACTGGAGATAGTCAAGCGGTAGTTTTCCACTGAAGATAGTAGTATCGGAGGTTTCGCTGAAAACTTCCTCGTATCAGTTAGTGGGGGTCGAAGGGATATTTAAATGGGCTCGCTCTTGTGAGTAGGCACCCTCTATACATTCTTCGGGTGCACTAGTAGAAACAATGTTGAAATCATCAGTGAGGTCGGACGTTGCAATAAAGCTGGATGGTTGTATTTGCCTCCACAGAGATTTTGCTCGACTTCTTGGGCCTTCCCAAACGGACCCACGTTGCAGTAACGCTGGATGGTTGTGTTTGCCTCCAGAGTTATAACAGAGATTTTGCTCTAAACTTCTTGGGCTTTCCCAAACGGACCCACAGGTTCACCTGCGTTGCACATTGGACCCACAGGTTCACTTGCGTTGCACATGGATCTGTTCCCGCTACGTCCCCTACTTGATTCACTCAGAGCTTCGTGATCAAGGAGAGAGTTCACCGTGAGTCGCTTTGATTGAGGAGCCAGTTCTCTATGCTAAAACAATTTGATAAATTTTAGTCTCTAATCAAAGGAGAATTCCACATGTTGCTTCCGGATGCCTACAAGAATCAATCGTCATCTTACAACCATTTCATAGAGGGTTCAGTCCAGACCACTGACATAAGAAGCGTGCGCGTGCCCTTGCATGTATGAAGTTGATCCAGTAGGTATAGTCGGTTCGTGCATTTGATGCGATAATAAATGTCAGAAGCGAAAAATAACAAGCCCAATGCGACAATGCTAACAAAGATGCGAAAAGACAAAGACAAGACAAGACGGGAGGTTTGTAGACGTTCAGAATATATCACATCAGTAGCAAAGTAATGGGTCTCCTGCATAGTGGACGCGTTGCTTGTGTTGGAAGAAGTAAATCACTCATCGTGTGTACTTTGTATCAAAAAACTGCCGAGCACCTTCCATCCGTGTGATCTTTGACAAACGTTCACCAATTACCGCAGAGGGTGGATGGCATTTTGCGAACACCATGCTTGACACCGAGGAGATTAAATCTCCGATACGGTAAATGTCCTTCACTGTCATCAATAAGCTCGACCCTGCTCGTGACCCTTCGTTAAGGGTGAGAACGTATGATCAAAATGGCCAGGGATCTATAGTGGAAGTTATCTCATCACACTTTTGCCCTTGTTAGAATTTGACACGAATTCTACAAGTCGGTAGACCCATCGATCCAGCATTCCTGAATATACAATTACCCACATCAAACACAGATACAATGAAAGTCAGTCGTTGTATGTAAACCAACATGTTGGCTGATATTCAGTTAACACACGCTTCGAAGGAAATTAGGTGCATGAAATGAAGTCTTAAACAACAACTCTCAGAAACATACATGTTGGTGCATATAGATTTCCAGCACATGTGCAAACAGGAAAGATGGTAGAAAAATCTGCAGGTCATACCTGTAACTGCAAATGTTCCTCCCAAAACAGCACAAATTCGAGTAAAAAAATGGCCAATATGGCGGCGTTCTTCCCTGACATTTACAGCTATGGGCGATAGGTCGTATACAAAGTATACAGCTGGAAAACAACGAAACAAAGCCATTATTGTCAGCTTCTTCCGTCAGAGTAATCTCAGTCGACACGAGACTAGACGTAGTGACTCCAAGAGGCAAAATACTTGGGTGACCACCAACACAAGTTACAGGCGGAAATTGGTTGATTTGGTAACATAAGCGGCTGTACTTCTTTCCTCACTTAATCTACCATTTCGAGGACTGCATATTGCTCATTTATTCTACAAAGGCAGGATGCAGACATCGAAACGACTCCACGAACAAACGGTAGTCATTAGTACGTGCCTGTCATAAGCGAAAGACCATAGACCCCGCACCCATTTATCCCAGCAGGCAAGCAGGGCTAGCACTCTTTGACATCAGCAGCTGAATATGGATACAAACCTGGCCAATTGCGCTCGTAAACCTTAGCTGACATGAAGTACTCGGTCACCGAAAACTGATTTGTGGGCATGACTATTCCATTCAAATAGCTGTACTCTGTTGGAACAATCTGTTACACAAGTAGGTAAGAAAGCTGGTCAGAAGAAATTTGACCACAGCGGTTGAAATCACAAATCAGACAATGGACAGGAAAGTTTACGTTCGAAGAGATTAGGCAACGCGTTCAATGAAACAATGAGACCCCTATATACAAGATGGAGACGATATGAGAATGCTTGAGACCACTTAAACATCAAAGGAGGATTCATCGTGTAACCGATATCATATCAACCTCGTAACTCCGTCAAAAAAATTACAATAGTAAATAAAAAAACTCGAATGTGAAAGACAGACTAACTAAAACCGGTCTTACCTTGAGGAAATACTTAAACGTTCCACTTTCATCCCTCAGAATGCGTTCTGTGCCATCAAGTGGGTTGTGAAGGCCTGGATATTTTGGGCCAAATGATAGATCGTGTATGACGTGACTCACATTTACATCGGATGCACTCGCATAAACCTGAAGAGACAAGACTTGCGGAAGGAATTGTTGATTAGATAAGAGTGAAGCTTAGTATGACTTTTAAAACTTTCTGCGAAAGAATTTACATGATTGACAGTTTCATTATGTGACCACCGTTTACGAAGACCGAAAAACGAAGAAAACATGAAGACCGAAAAGCCGAGAAAACCATGGCAACCAAACCTACGTAATCTGAATGAAGGTATAGAGTATGATAATATGCAAACGTGCAGATAAAGACAAGGAATACAAGAACGGTGAAATAGGGAAGCGAGTGCAAGCAGGCCAATTGAGAATATGAAAGTTCTGGGAAAACTCATTGAAGTCACCAAGAGTGTCTTTAGGTTTAACATCAAACCTGTTGTGCAACGAAGATGCTCAGACCATGCATAGATATGTGAAAGTTTCCAGCCACTCTTTCAACATCAAGCACACCGAAAATCTACAAGATCCGTAGTTTGATTTAGTACCAAGATGAACTTGAGATAATCGAAGGTATCGAAAGAATATTAATTGAAACACACAGATAGATGAAGTCAACGGATAACATCAATTATCCTTGCCAATAACCTTCAAAATAACAAAAGGAAAGCAACAACTTTAGGATTTGCATGATAGTGATCGAAAAGTGTTACCCGGCAACCTTCTCGCTCTTCGAGAGCCTTTTTTATCTGTTTGACTACTTTTTGTGGATCCCCCATCATCTTATGCTCATGGAAATGACCATGGGCATCTTCCCCATGTGATTCGTGATGTATATGTCCAGCATCCTCCATAGCCTTCTTCGCTGTATGTACAATAAAGAAGAGTAAGGGAAGTACTAACTACCTTGAAGTTTTGTTGTTCAAACCAAATAATGCAAGTAGCACACATTGTTGTAAGTTTCACAACATAGAAGCGATAGAAAGAAGCGATTACAAAGCCAAACACGCAAAGAGGTTGGCTACGCTTTTCCTTTGCTGGTTACGGGAGGCAAGACATATGCTCTGGAAACACTTTTGGTATACGCTATGTTCCTGTCTTCTTTACCAGTTTTTGTGACACGTGCTCAGGAATTGGGGTTAGACGTGAAAACATCCAATTTCGTACTACTTTCAACTGAAATGTAATCTCCAAACAATTAAATACATACCAGCGAGTTAGCGTTAATTAAATACCACGAATAATGAGTCCAAAGGTTTCATCAAAAGTGAAACAACGACAGACAAGGACAGATGAAGAACTCTATTATCCCAGAGGTAAATAAACTCAAGGAATAATGATGGGAAAATCAACAATCTTCAGCAGTATCGCTTTCGAAGATTTCAGAATTTTTACAACCACAATAACATAGAAACCTTCAAAAAGCATGGAAACCAAGAACTTTATCAGCTCCAGAATGTTGGTGGTTGCACCCCATAAAAGTTTCTGTCATCCAACTGGAAGGTAGTGAGTGCTAGTTGTGGGAAGTAGGGACTGCGTGTGATGCTGACATACAAGACGCGACATTGTGATTCACAGAAAACTGACTGCCACGTCCATGCAGCGTACTTATGATAGAAAATTTCTACTTATTCTCTCTATTCCTGATATACATACCCGCGGCTTCCTCTTTGGCCACATCGGTGGTGTGCTCTCCTTCCACAAGATCTGAAACGTATTCAGATCCCAAAATATAGCCGTCCTTATTTACCCGGATCTGATTTTACAGGGGAAATTCCACTCGGCATATTAGCATTTTAGTTTAAACCCTCAAGCATAATACGTACATGTCTTCAAAATCGTAGACAGAAGTTAAGCTGTAGCTCTTGGTGGGAGTTCCAGAGGAATAATCACTTGAACCTTGGGGCATTCCCAGTAGTTTATCTTTGAAATTAGGTGAACATAAATCAGAATCTCTTCAGTGAGAAGATGAAATAAACAACATACGAATTGTCAGTAAGAACCACATAAGAAGTAACTAGTAGGAAACCATGAAACCCAAGAGAAATTATATACTCATAAAACTAGATTATATAATCTCCCTTGCTGCTCTCCTAAGCTGGTGACAAAGAGGCACGCGACACCAAGGAGTGGTAGGATTGACTTACTTTCCAAATATTTGTGTCAAGGTCGACCTCATGCTTGCCTGACATATCGATGGCATCAAGACTGAGGACTGCACATCATAGGACAAGCTTGGTCATGAGAAACTATTTTCGAAGTATCAAGAGGACGAAGAAGGAAGGAGAAGAAGCGAAATTGATATTTGAGGTATGTATTAAAAGGTCTAGCCTCACCTGCGCAAGGAAGGGCAGGAAAGGTCATGTTGATGACGATAGGAAGCTTTTGTCCCCGCTTCACGTCGACAGACATCTGGCAGAATTCGATCAGACGAGTTATGCTACTTAGTAACTTGACTAAGCTGCCGAACAAACGACCGGAAATATATACTCAGATGCTCTTCGCTGTGAGACATAAATGAACACAACAAGGGTTTCTTCGAACATAAAGAGCTTAACGATGAAGATAGCTTTACTATGTTTCGTGTTGGAAAAATCTAAGTAGAGAATGAGACGAGCAAGACATGAATATTGAAGAGTAAAGGGTTAAACGAATTACAACGGTTAATCTGCTCTCCAATTTAACACAGGTTTGGATTACATTTAGGATGGAAATGTCACCCTGGTCAGAGAACAAACTTCAAGACAGTTGCACAAAACATGTCTGAAATCGATATTTATACAGCAAGACTAAAGTCTTTGTAGACGTACCTCATGTACTATTACTGTACTGAGCTGAAAGCTAAGCTCGTGTATGAAAAGAGTTAACATCAGGACCAATCCACATATTGTCACTGCCATATTCAAAACGGTGTGTTAGATATGAGATATTCTGTGAGATATTTTCTTGCCCTAGTAGTAATTATTCAACTGGCTCCAGTACATGCTGCTTCATAACTTAAAATAACTTTCATACATTATATAGCAGAATATACCGGACATAACCAAGTTCATTGTTTGAAGCCAGAAAAAATCCACTCAACTCCACGATCTCACCTAATTCTTGGCCTGGATGAAATTAGCTATTAAAAATCTACGCAAAATTCCACAAAAAATTCCATGCAAAATTCGCCAAGTGTCCTCAACCGCAATCGCAATTGGTGATACTTATAAGGCTCATACCAGCTGCTCCGGAAGTGGTTTTCTGAGTCAAGTGCTCCTCTGCCCTTGGGAAGGCATTTAAGCTTTTTAAAGCAGTAGACTTCAACCCCATCTTGAAACTCCCCTATCTGCATACAAGACAGGTGGATACAATTTACTATGAGGAACAAACTTGTAGGTAACGTAGTACAATCAATCTAAAAAAGTGATGAGTAATTTATATTCCTCAAACAGGAAATTCTTCCTTTCTTGTATCCAAAAACCTCCTGATCCCTAAATTTCCTATACAGTGACAGGAAATCAGAGCCTTGAGGAGAACGCTGAGCTTCTACTGATTTACCTGGCCCAAGTCGTCCACCGTAGAGTAAGACGACAACACCTTCTCGAGGATCCACTATTTAAATCAACGATGGCCACAGCTAAGGAAGCTTAAACCATCTCCAGTGCATACAACAGATGAAAGTCAATCAATGCCATTCACGCAACACTTCAGGAACCAGGCCAACTATCCATCACAATCCCTGGCGGGAATTCTTCCATAAATGAAATCCGGCATCGACTCCTAAAATCATCAATAAAAACAAAAAAAAACCCACACAACGTCCCTGCCGCATGTTTCGACCGAGAGTCATTCCAGAGACTAATAGCAAGCTCAATCACCTCCCAAAGGTGACAAATTTCGTGCTTTCTTACTCAAAGAAAATCAACGGTGACAGAAAAATCACAAAACGTCCAATAACGTCGGATTGAAACACCGAATCGAGAGATTCCTTCCTCCAACTCTAACGCACCTGTTCAGTCGACCAATTTGAGAGCCCTCTATCCTGGAGCTTGCTTCCTTACTGAGATCCCACAACGCCGACGACTTGTAGTCCTCTGACAACAAATCATATAGTCACACGGATGCGCTTCTCCCTTGCCCCGAGCCCGCGGCCGGAACCTTCGGGACTTTCGAAGCTTGACTGAGTACAAGAGTTGAAAAGAAGAGGCAGATGCAAGACGCGAGACGTGACAGTGAGGAGTCAGGCAGGACTCAGGAGTTTCTGATCAATCTTCGTATTCAATCGATCAATACGTTGTCTTCCCTTCCTCCATTCCTCCACTCTAAACCCCTGCTTCTAGTCTTCACAGGCTCATAGTCTCCTTGCGTATTGGACGACCGTCTGTCTGCCCGTCCGTCCGTTTATTCGTCCGTCCGGTCGGCCGGCACTTCGAGACGTGGAAGTTCCGACAGTCAACGAGCGGTCTCATCCAGTACATTATTGTTTTGTTTCATTGACCGACTGGACTAGAAGCGGTGGCTGTGACCATCAAGTGAGATCAGTGCCAGATCTTTGGATTTCTCATTCTTTCAGAAGCTTGGTTGAATCCGACGATCATAGGTCAGGGATAAAGAATGTGTTCCTAAATCAGATCCGTCATATCCGGACACCTCGCTTTCACACAGCACCCAAATGTATTAACGCATTTACGGTGTGACCCGCTACGACAGTGTCCTTCTTCACTCTTACCTTCCAGCAGTGGCCGTTTGCCGGCATTGACTTATTCACACGATGTGCACGCGTTGATCCAAAACCTTTCTCTCTTCATTGTGCATGAAGGCTTAGAAAGGCACCCTAAAACACCAAGCGCTTGAGCTAGTCCATGGAGCTGGACTTACTTAATGAAGCTTGGTGATCGAAATTCCTCCTCGAACAAAAGTATTTTCAAGTTGAGTTAAGTGGGAGACTACTGTGCTCTCAAACCTCTTGTATACAAATAGTTTTTACTCTTTTTAAGTCATTACATATACACTTGGTAACTGACGTACATCAGGAGGTACTATCTTGTTAAAGAATCCACCAGTTGGGACTACATGTTATCTATAATAATTCGACAATAACGACATTGGGATGTTACTTCAACATGGGTGCAGGCTTTTGGCTTGACCATGCTCTGATATGGAAATCTATACACATCTTTATTATGCAAGTGTTCTTGACTATGCACTTTGAAAATACAGTTACCGTATTCTCCTATATTTGTTAAAAGTTAAAAAAAAGATTCAGTTTCTAGAAAATTGAATTTTTTTAGGTTTAACTGAATGTTGTTATACTCTTTCATTTTGAAAACTACTAAAAGTAATATAGTATTATAATTACATTTATTGGTTAAAAAAATCTTTTTTAATATTTATCAAATCAAGTTAAAGATCTTCACTCTCACGTAGTGTGTATATATGTATATAAATTATTTATCTGACATAAAAAGGTTGAAACTTACCTTGACTGTGTGATTCATCTCTTGAATTAGATATTTTTATATAAAGTAAGCATGTATCAAATTCACATTTGTAATTAAAATATAAGGACTCATTTTCACTTGATGCAAAAAGCATCTGAGATCACATTTACAAAGAATAATCCGTCAAACTAAGGTGAGAACTACTAAGTCTCTCAAAGTACAAAGACTTGATAGAGCTAATATCTTGCACATTAAAAACTCAATCTTCAGATTCGGAAGAAAGAACTTCTGGAATTATGAATAGAGACGATGAATATGTAACCAATAGGTGTGATGACATGTGTGACATCACACAAAATTTCCACATCTTCGGAAATTAAGATTAGTCTTTTAAAGCATTTCACAGAAAAACATAATGAACAGTCATTCCTCAAGAGGATCTTACTTTCTGTGCATGATGTTGACTTCATCTACACAGAGTTTGTGCTGGCAATAAAGACACTTTCGAGCATAATATAACATTATGTTTTTCAAGATTAGTCTGGATACACGGATTAAATCCGTGGAATGTATATGGAACCATTTTAAAAGATTGTTGACACCTCAAGAAGGACCATTCAAAACTGTTTCATACAATCTCGGAAGTTAGTGGTTATTCTCTTTTCGAATTCTCAATGAGCTATATCATTGAGAATGTATTTGATTCCGCTATAACGAACTGAAACTCCCTGTTCAGGATATTTGTATCGTAACAAAAGCTGAGGGTGATGCGAACTTTTTGATGATTCTATTTCTCCAACAAAGGTTATTTGATTCACTTGGCTTTCACGATGCATTGTAGAGAGATTATATACTTGGAATGCAATTCCACTGATATTAGATGCAAAACTGCAAAGCAATATAAAAACCAAAGAGGCTTAAAGATCTTGGGAAGGTTTTGCTAATATATGTCATGCAATTCATTTCATCTTGGTTATATCTTGACTACAACGTGTCACTATAACAATATCGCATCTTTACATTTGGTTCCACAAAACCTCTACCCGTTCAAAATGTACATCTTCAACCGCTAACCAAACAAAGACAAACCAAAATGGTTCAAGACAGAAGACTTCCAATTTGAACCTTAATTGACAAGGCAATGAAAACACGTCAAAGTGCTCGTGAGAGTATAGCTTTTGATTACTCATCATTTACGTTCAGTGCTTAGTGGCCAAATGTCTGTTAGACTTTAACCTCAGTCCCTTACCCCAGTCCGGTTCCTAATTGCATCTGGTAGCGAGCGCTTCCATGGGGCCCGACGGCAGCGTTTTGCATACTAATCTACCAGATGCAGCCTGGGTGATAATTGCTGATCCTTACGATTATGAAATCTCTCTCTCTCTCTCTGTGGTCCAGTTTGATCGTGCTTCGTCCGCAGTGTGCCATGACATCCAAGCAAATGCGAAGGGGAGCCGGAAGAGCTCGACGACAACTCCGGTAGCATCGGTGTAGTCGGAGTTGTCGGCCGAGTTTATAGCATATATACCGCACTCGTAATTCAACCGAAGGGTTAACAATTTTGTTTGTGGTTGACCTGTACCTGATGAATTGTATATTCACAAGCCAACATGTTGTTTACCAGCTCAAGCCATCTGCCAGCTAATCCCAAAAATGTACGCACGGGAGCCATGAGAAAGAATGTCGAATCGTCGGTATTCCCTTGCCTGTTGACCTTCTTTAGGCGGGACTCAAGTTTGGAAAAGTTCATATGATCATACACTAAAGTAATACTACAGAGCATAATGGACCCGGGGCAAGTTTGGCTCCGCCGAACGGATTCGCATGATGATGGAGCGCCGAACATTTCATGAGTATTATATAATATTGATATTTATACATAATTATTATTGGTAACACTGCTAATAACAAAATAGCACAGATAAAAAACGTTACATTGTTAAGAAGCACGAATACAGGGGACTGTTGTATAGAAGTAGATCCGGTTCGAGAACAGAAGGGTGATGTCTCGGGAGTACTATCTTGTTTTGTTCAGCGATGTACATTGGAGTTTGATGAAATCCACGGCAGATTTCTGGCTGCCACGCACGGCAGACCCAAGAAAATATTGACCGACTGAAATACAGGCAGACGAGGAGCGGGACGGTTGCGTGGTCTCTGAGCCACGGAGCTGGACAGATCAACTGTCAACTATAGCCTAGATCCTTCACTTCTATACATGATGTTGGAGGGATGGTCTTCACAGATGCTTTGTGCAGCATCTGTGAAGAACCTTCTATTTCTGCGTAGGACGAGTGAGCTTTGGGCAGATCGAGAAAGACCATCGCGGTCATGATGGTTGGTCCGTGATAATGTGCTTCAGCAATTGTGCAAATGTCATTCCAGTCGCTTTGGAAACATTCGGGACCTGCCGTACCCTACCCGCTTGTAGCTGGGAGGGTACGGTAGGTCCCGAATGTTTCCAAAACGCCAGTTTACTGGAATAAATATGAGCTGCAGATTCTCGTGTTCAGTATCGGAGCTCTAGAAGAACGAGTCCTATGGCTGAACACTTTCCCACTTCCTTGGGGTCTCCATTTTGTAGTCCAGCAATCAGAGAGTTTAGGACTCTGCTGTCTCTCGAGAGGTGCCGCCCGTACCCACCAGTGCAAGTGGTGCATATGATTGAATTGTTTAGTCCTATAGCGAGCTACAGATGAGAAAGCTCGTTGCATGCTCCAATTTTTGGTATGCAGCATTCATCAAGTTAATCTATTGAGAAACTGCAAGAGCCTCAGGTCAACAAAGTGTGAAGGTGGGTACACGCTTAGCAAGACTGTTCAGCAGAAACCCAAGAATTAGGCACCTGGTACAATTTTGTTCAAGACAGCTCACGCAGACGTATGGTCTCGTTAAGAAGCAATCATTTTCATCGTACGCTCCTTTTGCCTTCAAGCGAAGTATATGCATTTTCAAGCAGGCCAGTAAACCTGCAGGTTTGGTAGGCCATTCTGGGCTCCAACGCATTGCAAAGTTTCTTGTTCAGTTACTCACACCAGGCAGGTTGATAAAGGAGGCTGATACAGAAGAAAACCCTCCTTGAGGGTCTTCGCGTTTATAATATCAGTGCATACATGCATAGTTTTTATGAAACTTGGTAAGCACCCTCCTCCGATCGGCACTCGGATGTTTATACATGCTAGCTCAGAGAAAATCAACCTCATTGGGCGGGGCTACCGCTGCCAAGCTGATGCCTGGACCACTCAAGTCTGCGAGGGAGAAGGCAGTTCGAATAAATTCAACTGTACTCGATCGATTTCGTTGCTATCAATGCGGCGAAGCCGTGGCATTATATGCCCAGAACATTGTGAAGTTGGCTTGGCAATTGTTAGGCAGCAGACCCATTGAGGGGTAGACATGCTTTCCCTGAAAGAACGAAAGCGCTGCAATACGAGTCACAGCCTGCGAGAAGTGGTATCCATCCCAAGTTAGATGCTTCGATGGATCCTGGCAAGTCGTAACATTATGCGCAGCACCCTTGCCATCAAGCCAGGTTCTCCCGCAAGTAGCATTTGGATTGAAGTTGTACGCTCCACCCACACCACAGCATGCAGTCATTAACGTCGACGTGTCCAGTCCTGATGAGACAGCCAGCCGATCGATCCCTTCATGGTCAGAGTAGGTAAATGTCTCCTGAAACCCTCGTGATGTGATGTTGGACTTTTGAAGGATTCGAAACTAATGAGTGCGTGCTTCTGATATGCACATGATGGAAGGCAGAATACAAAAGCTGAGCTAAGTGATACTAGGCGATGCATAGGGAGAGGCCTGCGGCCTGGAGTTACCATAGTGATGCGGATCTTTTACAATCTCGTAAGCGGCTTGGTAGAAGTCAGCGTACACGAATTTGGAAGCAGGATACTTCTTTTGTAATCTAGAAACGGCACGATATAACAATTGATTGTGGCGTAAAATGGCGGTATTGACTTTTGTGAGGCATCCGAATGAATCGTAATCACTAGATCCTTTCTGTCCAGGAATCATGGATAGAAAGGCTGGTGTGCATCCCAAAGGAGGCAGATTTATGACAAGAATGGTTTGCGCTCCGTCTTTGTAGAGAGTCTGGAACACACGACCAATCAGATTTGATGTGAGATCGCCCATGAATACTGGATGTATATTCCAACGAGCTTCATGATTGATCGACAAGTCAACATGGAAAACATGGTAAGTGTTCGCTTCATTTGCTGTTATCGACTCTGAGTAAACTTGGAACTTTGAAACTTCAAGTTGCTGCAAGTCCACTATGAAACATGAGTGCCGACTGATTAAGAGAATTTCGCAGCTTTGATGCTTCAGATTAGCTCCCCTTGATAACAGTAAAAGCAAAGAATGCTCCGGCATTGGACGCAGAGGTCACCTCCAAATTAGCGGCAATCCGGCTCACAATAACATGCACCGAGGCCAATATTTTATGCTCTGAGTAAGATGCGGTATACTGCAAAAGGTAGTCAGTTGCTCCCATAAGGACGAGGTGCAGAGACCTGTTGAACGCTGCGCTTGGTATCAGAGTTGTGGTTCCTTGGCCTGCCATGTTTCCCACGCAAGTCCAAAGCGCATTCGCTTGTTAGCCGGCCTGAATCCGAGACCTTCAGGACTTCTGATAATCATTGGGTTCTGGTATTTGCATGCACGCGGAGGAGTATATTACAGATTGAACGATACGGACCTGAGGTCAGAGAAAACGAAACCCGCACTTTGAATCGCTGCCACCACTGGACCTGAGTCTCCAGAGTGAAGGGCGTCCTGGTCAAGACAAAGTTGGGATCGGACAGAGCATGTGGGGGATATTCATCGAGGACTGTAGATCCTGCTGCAGCGAAATTGGCCCCGGAGTAGAGCAAAGTTTGAACGCTTCTCAGATACGCACTTGATGGGCTATGCCCTATCGCCCACGCTGTACGTCCACAAGTGCCAAGCATTAGTGGCGGTCATAGGAACTGCATTGCCAGCTTATGGCCTTGCCCCAGTACTGGTTAGCTCACTGCACTGTAATAATGAATATCAGCCTACACTCTTAGACAGCGAACCGCGTTTGATTATCGCCTCGAGGCGAGATCGGAGTAGTCAGTCTACGCTGCTCAATTGCAAGCACGGCCTGGAAATCTAGATGTTTGATGTTCTCGAGACTTTCTTCTCAGTCCATGTTCAGCTGAATGCCTCACGATCAGCACAGGGAATCGGACCGACCTTTGATTCTTAGATTGCGAACGATCACAGGTCATTCACAGCATTCAGATTTATGGAGAGAAAAGATCGCGCAACATATCTTCCACATAGCACATACCTGACAAGTCCCCGAACAGTTTACCGTCCGAGAACCGATCCGCTCCATGCTGAGGCCATTCCACTCCATACGGGTGTTGTTCTATCCTGGAAAATCTGTCAGGGTACGCTGCAATGGCGTTTCCAACATCTACCATGGAGTCTCCGAATATGAACAGTCCAGGAAAGCATTGTCCACCTGCTACCTTCGAAACTCCTGAGTGCATGAATTCCAAGACCAGGAAGCAGCCAATCAGGACATCACGAGAATACATGTCCTTACATCTTGTTGTTTTCATAGTCCGAGGAATCAGAAACAGGGATAGGAAGTTGCTCCTCGTCATAGTGGCGTAACCCCCAAGAATCAGAAAATTTTAGACGGGAAAACTGATCAGCTCAGAAAAGGGAAGGTAACTAACTGAAGACCCTCTCTGCCTCTCTGCCTCTCTCCCACCGTGTGCTCGGTTGGAAGGATTGACTAGGCAGTGCTCAAATCCAAGAGACGCCTGGCCAAACTACACTCCCCGCATACCTTTATACTAAGCACATAGGTCTCGGCTGATTCATTAGTTGGCAAGATCGAGATTCACGACGAGTCAGCGTGGGAAGAGTTCAAGTTAGGAGGAGAGTCGCACCGAAGTTGCTCAAGAAGGTGGTAATGAGTGAGCATACCTCAGGCGAAAATGTCTTTGTGTTTGTAGAGGTTAGACCATCGATCGAAACGTGCATGCAAGCCTCAAAAATCTTTCGTGTCGGGATGAATGTGTGCAGCAAGTTCTTTGATATGTGAGAGAATACGATTGAGTGATTTCATTCCATCGCAGTTCTTTAGCACGATACTCTCACATTCGTGTTCGATAGGTCGCAAAGATGGTGGCTGTCTGCATCGAAAGAAAGCTAGTTGTTAGAGAGCCACTCATTTGCAAGGAACATAACTACCGCTGTTGCTAATTTGGACCTCCACCGAGGACAGCACGTTCAGATAGGCGCCATGCTTGATTCGTTCACTGGCGATTTCTACATGTCGGTCGATCTTTTTATCGCAGGATCAAACCTGAGAACACAGGCGTCTCACTGCCCTTTGGGGCTGGGTATTCTTGGTCATCTCTGGCAGTGCCACTTATGCATTGTGGAACTCTTGCATTATCAATGTGTTCGTCACTCAGAGCTACTGTCCGGTACACACATCGACAGGAGCACTTCACGCCAATGTCATGAGTTTATGATCATTATTATTGTCATGTCTTCTCCCAGAATCTTTCCGTCTCGTTGGACAAATAGATCATGTACTAAACGATTCTCCATCATGATTCACACTATTACAATCGCCACAAATATTCTAATAAGTCTTGTCCTTATCCTACAGAGTTTCGACTTCTGAGTGAGTTCAGTCTCTATGTTAGTGACAAAAGTGACATATATGTAAGAAGTCAGAGCATTTGAATCTGCTAGAATTCTAGCAGATTCAAATGAAGTGAGGTATCATATCTAGTGGTAAATGAAGTTGAGTTCCTTCAGTCCACACTCCCGTCAGAGAAGATATAAGAGAAATTTAGAAACATATGATCTGATGTTATTATATTATGTTTCAATTTATATATACACAAATAAATATTTAAATAAATAAAGACCTAACCAAATGAAGAGCTAAAATGGTCTTAAAAAGTAAATTGAATAATTTGAAGTTTTTATAGGGGGTTTCATTGTGTTTATTTCGAGGGGAATCTCCATAAAATAGGTATACATCCTGCAGGAAAGCCATTGAGGGGAATCCCAAAAGGTTTCTTGAGACTGACACTTGGAACTTCCTGTTAGAAAATGGGTAATTTTCGTTTTTGGTACGTACCAACGATTTCTCCATAAAGTTTTTTCAGATAAACGTAATGAGATTCTGAATTCATTACAGATTTTACGGAAATTGGCCAATCTTCATAAAATATTCAAATTTGATATCCTAAATCCCTTTCACATGCTATAATCAGAGTAGATAAGTCCGACCACAACGGATAAATAACTAATTACATGGCAACAATGAATCGTGATTTTATCAATTCCAAGTCAAATTCCATTTGTAGATGGTGTTGTATCACACATTTTGTTTTGTGTTAAATAAATTGCAAATCTCACGATAAAAAAAGTCCCTAGTTTAAAATATTGAGGTTTATAAGTTATTTCACATGATTAGTCGCACAATTATTTGACGGAGGTGATACAGCTTACCAACTCAATGTGGAATGTTTTGTCTAATCAATACATTGGGGTAAAGATTCTATTGGAATATTAATTCTTATTCAATTAATACATAGGACATTACAATCATAAGATAATAGGGTTCAATGGTAAAATTTTGTACAATATCATAAATTTTAAAATATTATTGGACATATGGATAAAGTAGTAAGATGTCAAAAGAAATTCTCAAAAATAATAAATATTATATCATATCATTGTATATTGATGCAATAAAATATCTATATGTCTCATGATTAAGCATGTATCTTGAATTTTTTTTATAATACTATATTTTAATACATTTGATTCAGCTAAACAGTATATGCAAATGAGAAGTATAAAAAATGTGAATATGTAAAATGATCTCTAAATTTAATTTTTTCTTCTTTTAATATCCAACATTGAACCATTATGATCTGATTTGATTTTCCGATATAAAAAAATTTACAATTTTAAAATTTAATTTATTAAAAAAAACGACTTAAAAAAATACTCAATATTCAATACTCGTAAATTCTATTATTTATGATATTAAATCTATGTAAAAGATTGAAAAAATTAAAAAATATTTATGCTTTGCCTGGAGCCCATTACATGAGTGTGAAAATTCACCCCACTCGAAATTCAAATCTAATATCTATAATCATAGTGCCACTTGCGTGAGCATTGCAGTCAATTCACCTCAAATACATCCTTATTTGGAAAGGTTAGCCTGTAATGACCTGTTCTCTCAGTTTTGCAGGTTCAGGAATTTACAAGCAATTCACCTCAAATACATCCTTATTTGGAAAGGTTAGCCTGTAATAACCTGTTCTCTCAGTTTTGCAGGTTCAGGAATTTACAAGCAATTCACCTCAAATACATCCTTATTTGGAAAGGTTAGCCTGTAATAACCTGTTCTCTCAGTTTTGCAGGTTCAGGAGTTTACAAGCAGAGAGGAAAAGATTGTTGTCCAAGTCAGTTTTGCAGGTTCAGGAATTTAGAAGCAATTCACCTCAAATACATACTTTTTTGGAAAGATTAGCCTGTAATAACCTGTTCTCTCAGTTTTGCAGGTTCAGGAATTTACAAGCAGAGAGGAAAAGATTGTTGCCCAAGTCAGTTTTGCAGGTTCAAGAATTTAGAAGCAATTCACCTCAAATACATACTTATTTGGAAAGGTTAGCCTGTAATAACCTGTTCTCTCAGTTTTGCAGGTTCAGGAATTTACAAGCAGAGAGGAAAAGATTGTTGCCCAAGATAGTCTCTGAGTTGTGTAGGTTCAGGAATTTACAAGCAGAGATTAAAAAAATGTTGGTGAAGATATTCTCTCAGTTTTGTAGGTTCATGAATATAATGGAAGAGTCCATGCAGCATGCATTATCCTGGGTACCCGAATATCTATCGGGCCTCAACACGCATCCTCGATCACCTTGAGCATACGCACCTTGACTCCATGCTCAGAAACCACTTGTTCTCTTCTTCACTTAGTGCTTTCCGATTTTGCACTCCTGGCCCACCCACGAGTTCCAATTTCAGGTCCTGCTCAGCCACAACGATTCGCAGCGCAAGTGACAATGCGATAGTGCACTAGTCCAGCACATGCATGTGCTTGACTGCTCTTTGAGCTTGAGAAATCCCCGACGACGATTGCTCCTTCCCCGTCGCTCCTCGCACCGGTGCACGAGGCCAATCAGCGCCTTGATCCCTCACTCCTTCCCTTTCCCCCAACCCCTCTACCCTCTCCAACTTTCACTAGTTTATCAAATCACTCAAGCTGTGACAAATTACTTATTTTGTATCAAAATTGTCAGCAGTTGCATGGTATCTGGTCAACAACTCTCGGAATTGTTGTGGCCATGGTTTTAATCTTTCAACAAATTGGCATTGTAGCAATCGGTGCAATTGTTCTAATTCTCCTCATGTTTCTTGAACAGTTATGGGATGTATAATAGTGGTATTATAATAGTTGAATTTGAGATTACGGTATAATCTAAACTTACTCCCAACTTGAAATTGCATTACAAAAATTAGAGTTGATACATGTTCCGTGGGATTTCTTCTACGAATGAGTGAATGACTGAAGGTCTCACTTTCTCTCCACATCTTTTGTTGTTTAATGACAGGATTCACTCCAGCTTTGACCAAGCATGCGTGTTGCGGAGCGCCTGGAATTGGAACCCACAACTACAAGCCACTCGTCACTTGTGGTAATACAGGGTCCAAGAAATGTGTAAATCCGGACTAGTATGTCAAATGGGACGGTGTACATCTGACCGAAGCGTTTACAGGCGAATGGCCTTATGGGCCCTCATTCCCCGGTCAGCTACACTTCTCTGTGTAAGTTAGATTTCCGTAACTTTGCAAAGTCTTCAGATACAACTCTGTGTTTCCTCAGAGTTCCAGGGTTACATTCACGTGATTAACTCCTATCGCTTTTATTTTTCCTGAATTAAGGATTTTTAGATCGAAAACTAGGTTTTAGAGGAGTTTATAAGGGAATATTAGGCCCTTCGAGAACGCTTCTTGAGCTCAAGCACATTACACCATGAACATGATACTATTTTCTGAGTATTCCCTGACTATCTTGAATGCCATCTTCTAGGGTAGCATACTTTTAGATAATCTTGGACGGTCCTCGTACCCAATGCTGTATATGGATATCTTGCGTAAGAGGTGCAATATAATCATCAGTATGTGCACTAGATAATGTAAGATGTATTTGATATCCACAAGGTGAAGATGATACTGAATGAAACGTCCCAAGGAGGTATGAATGAAGAGTTCATCACAGCGGAGATCGTCCATCGACTTACGGCGGAACAACTGCTTCAAACGACACTTCGGTGAACCCTATCTTCCTGAAGTTGGAAGTTACCGAATACGTCAGACTCAAGCAGATTGCAATTTTCCAGAAGAATCAATTGAGTATGTGTTATTCTCTCTCCTTCCTTCCTTTCGTTTAAATACCAGAGCTATGTGAGAGGATGGATAGGTGTAATGACACTTCTGTGTGCTTTTACTTCGAAACCAACCAATTCAATTCCAGTACTGTCTATCATCTGGACATATCTTAAACTGTCAATGAGCTGAGCATGTGGTTTCAGCTTTATGATCCTATGAGTTCCAACGACTGATACTACTTGCCCTACTTGTCCTCAGACTGTTTATCCAGCGTGCGTGCCTTTCAAACAATTTCTGACTCGAGATGAATTTTACTCGGGGTACAAAAAGTCTCTATGGGCTGTATTGTGCTTATCAATCAGCTGGATCAAGCCTATCACAAAGCTCTTAATGATACAATAGCAGCTGCTCGGCTTTTATATCCTAGCAGAACCTTCTCCATCTTCAACAACTACGCTGCCAACTTGGAAATTTTGACAAATCCATCTCTTTACAGTATATTTTGACCTCTTTCCCACCTTGAAGTTGCAGGATCACAAATCGAAGTCCATACATAGTACTTGAGACTTCTTCTTTGAATGCGTGAACAACTGAAATTACGTTCTCTTGGCCTCTTGTGCATTTTAATAACAGGATTCAATCCAGCTTTGACCAAGCGCGCCTGATGCGGAGAGCCTGGACTTTGGGACCCTCAACTACAACCCGCTCGTTACCGGTGGTAATGCAGGGTCCGACAAGTGTGCAAACCCGGACGAGTTTGTTAACTGGGATGGTGTACATTTTACCGACGCCTTTTACAGGCAAAACGCCTCATGGGGTCCTTGCTGGAAATTAAACTAAGAACCCGGTCAACTACACTCTCTGTGCAACTTAGATTTCCAGAACTTTGCAAAATCTTCCAGAGTGCAGACAAGCAGAAAACTAGATCTCGGAAGAGGTAATAAGGGATGTCAGGCCGTTGGAGAACGCTTCATGAACTGAAGCTCCGTACTCTTTGAACATGATCAATATCTGAGTATTCCTTGCCCTTCTCCTCGTGCATGTTGAGACTCTCTTGCGTCCCGCATAATCAAGTGAAATAAGTTGAGATTATGTGGGATGGTTTTATTACTGAATGATGTACATGGTGCTGTTGCATGTTGAGACTCTCTTGCGTCCCGCATAATCAAGTGAAATAAGTTGAAATAATGTGGGATGGTCTTGTTACTGAATGATTAACATGGTGCTGTTGCCCAAACTATTGACAAGCATGTGCATTAGATACAAGAATGATGGTGTCTTTGACGCCACACATGCTTCATCCTATGAGCCACTGGGTCGCCTCTGCACGTGTGTAGTAAGGTTATCCTGAATAAGCCAAGTGTCCATCATAGTCGAATCTGGCCAGCGATCAATTGCAACGTAACATATTTTCTTGATTTCGGCAGCAGACAAATTTGCTTCAAGAGTTGAAATGGTTTCTCTCTATGATTGGTTGCCAATTTATCAGTTGATTTTCATCCATCGACCGAGTCGTCCCCTGGAAAGGGGAGGTCTCATGTAATGAAAGACGGCGAACATCTTACCTGGGGCCGTGTCTGAAATCAGCTTCTTCCAAGTTCTCTCAGTGATGTTTAAGGTTGAACTGATCAAGGCCTTGAATTGGGAGGCAAGAACTTGGGTTGGCTGCCACGGAAAAATATGACATCAAAAAGGTTAAAGGTCTTTGCTTGTATACTTCCGCCGCGCTATCTAGTCCACGGGGCTGTCTAGCCCACGCGCAACCGCTCGACCTCTGACAACAACGAGAAACTTTACTCACAATGTCATGTTTTGCTATATCCAAAACTAAGCGTGATCTTAGTTCGATGCAGATGGATTTTATCAAGAGATCTGAGATGGAACGCTGTGAAAAGAATCATCAAGATCTCCAAATCTGCAAACCTGGGAGATAGATGCTGTCAATGATGCGTTTTCTGAACCAACGCCTAGAATAGTGTTCGGAATTGATGTTTGATACAATGGATCTAGACACTACGGTGGTAGACAGCCACGTAGTGCCTTGACGCTCAACAGATGAGCAAATTCCTAGACTGTTTGAGGTCTCACCACCCGATCCCCCGATGTGAACTGGAACTGGTACCGACTGAATGGGACAAGAGTACCTTTGCCCCGATCAGACCTTTGCTTCCTGCTTTGATTATGGAGCTAGTCTCCAGAGACAACCCAAAATGATTTTCAAGGGTTACTCTTCTTTCTACGCTTGTTCATGAATAAATGGGTCAATAGCATTAACATTCTGAGCTCAGGCTAATCGTGAGTCCACTATGTGCAAGGAAAATCCTCAGACCTTAATTTACTGTCACGGTCTACGAGATGATGCGGCCCTGCGTACGCTTTTGGCAACAGACGCCCTGTATTCACAACCGTTGATATTGAAGACCATAAGGAGCGAGAGAAGCAGAGTAGTTTGGGCTCCCTATGAGTGCAGGATATGACCATCTGTGTTCAAGCATTCACACTCTGCTCCTCATGAGCCGTGAGATTGATCAGACCCACGGGCATGCATGCGAAAGTAGGCACAGAAGAGGACAGCTCTTTGGCATCCTCTTCTCTGAGTCGAGTACCTTGCTGACCAACAACCACAGACGCCACTCTCGCCGCTAAATTACCAATGCCTTTCAGATGAGGGATTCCCCTCAGAATACCGTAAAGCACTCCTGCTGCGTAAGCATCGCCCGCTCCGCAAGTATCTACAGGCACGCAAGGGGCAGGTTGTACATACGATACTTCCCCCTTCAGGCCTATGTACGATCCCCGAGCTCCATCGGTGACTGATACTAGATGGCAAAACTTGCTGAGTATTTCTGCAGCCATAGCCGGACTCATGTTTCCGTCACCGTTTAGTAGAGCTCTGGCTTCATCGCTGTTACAGAATATCATATCCGCACTTTCGGACATAACCTTCCTGCGTTTCATGACAGAACAATGCTTCAATTGAAGAGGAAACTATTCCATACCCGTCTTGCATGATACATAATCTTCACCTCGCACTCAGAAGGAGTCTTCACTGTTAACGTCCGCCCAGGCAAATAAGGTCTATTGAATCCAAGCTATTTAATTCACAGACTTAATTCATCGAGTGATAATTTAGCCCACTCTTGCAAGTAAGCAGCATCGAGAGTTATCTTCAAAGCCTTCATTTTCAATGAAGGCTTCGTAAAATTCACTTACCACATCTTCTCCCGATGGCGCTTTACACAAGAAATGTCACTTGCAGTAAGGGCAACCAATATGCCTTTTTCGCGTGCAGATTGGCATGCTTTCGCGATAGATTCTACAGTTTCGGATAATTCCCAAAGATATCCTTCAACCACGAGTATCTTTGAGCTCGCTATTTGCTCTTCTAGAGCCTCGTCATAATTGATTAAAGAGGACATACCCTGTGAAGACAAAAAGGCAAAAAAAAATTGAATACAGATCATTAACACGATTCCAGCCGAAGGAAATCAAAGCAGCTTCGAGCCCAAAGAAATCAACCTGGCTTCCTGGGTGGCTTTTGGAGGTGTGAAAAAAATCGTCCTACCTGGTAGGAAAGCATCGTCCGCTGTGCATCCGGGGTGGTGAGGACTATAACCGTCCCTGTTGTGCCATTAGGGATGGGTTCGGATAAGAAGTGGACGTTTGCCCTTTTCAACTTTGTCCTGTGGACCAAACGATAAATCCTCCTCAGCTCCGTGCAAGGTCAGCTGACACAATTACAGGACTTCCAAAAGTATTTCCAAGAAAGGTTCAGCCTTCGAGACAAGCTAGTCACTGGCCACCCCGGCTGCCATGAGTCCATCAGCTCAAGCCGAAACTCTCTCTTCGACGCCAAGAACGAAGGGACATCGCCACGAATTGACCTCAACCGCTTTCAGTAGGAAAAACTAGGAGGAAACCTAAACACACTCTAATGTCCAAAAACCTAGCTCCTACGAGCTCGACAGCATACAAACCAAAGTAGACACAAACCCCAAGAGATGTTACACACAAAAAAACCAATAGGACAGACAGGGTCGGGAGTTGAAAATGGCGATTAAACCGAAGTATAGCTGCAGTTAGATGAGTAAGAAATGGACAAAATGAAACGCTTTCTGCAGTCTAGAGGCTATCAACTACCGTGGAATGTTTCCGATTCCACGATCGAGAAACGAATTTCGCGACAGTTTCTGTATAGCGTTCTCCATACAGAGCACAGATTACATGTCTAGAGTGGTCTAATCCAAAATGATGGGCCGTAGAATGCTGTACCTGTAAAAGTCACCAAGGGCATCACTTCCCACACTTCCTGTCATGGCCACGTTCAAACTCGGCTCGTCATTATATCCCGCCCCAAGTCTTGCAAGCGCTACAAGGGTGTTGGAGAGCGAACCACCCGCAGTCACCTTGTAGTTACGACCATCTAGTGCCCTTATGCAGTTTCCCCTTTCCTCGTGGTTTACCACCTTCCTGGTACCTTTCACAAGGCCCAAGCCTTGCAGAAATCCATCTTCAACGATTCCCGAGAAGTCCACCTGTAGTGAAAATCATAACTCCCAGAATTCAGGAACATCCAAAACCCTTCCACTCCGTACGCAGGAAGGTACACACATACTTCAGAGCGAGATGCTCCGACACATGGATTAAGTGAGATGACGAGAAATAACCCCTCACCGAAGCTGCATTGAGCGGAGCATGGAGGTTTCTACCAGACATGGTCGGTGCTCAGGCCTACTCTCGTGCGTACATCTTAATATGAATTCCAACACAAGAAAGAGACAAAGGTGAAGCCTCCCTCCGAAACGCCAAGGGTGACATGCTGCAATGGGCCGTCATGTCAAGTTCCGAATTGGTGGCCACATTTCGGAGCGAGAAGATTGGATATGTTTGACAGAAGACTATGAAGGTGGCAACAGTTTCGATACAGATAAGAATAGCGGGCGGGATCCGCGACCCAAACCCCAAACCCCCAAAAGAGGCCGGACTCCTCTGCAGAGCACCTGAGGCAAGTCTACGAGGAGCGGCGAGTTTGAGTAAATTACCATGGCTTGTCCCAGGCCAACGACGTCCCATCTGTCCGGCATCGTCATCTCCGGGATGCCGTATGGTTGGAAACTGCGCTCGAATTCGTCGGATTCTTCGACGTTTAATTGGGCCTCGCCTTCTTCATGGCTGCTGCAGCGTATCGATGTCCTGGAGCGACAGGAGCTAGGACCTGCTGACACCCGCTCGGACTTCAAAAACACGAAGCTCTGCTTTCGGGACCTGCGGGCCGGAGATAGGCTCACGGCATGGCGAGCTGGGCAGAAATTCAGACTTGGCACTCCCACGATGTCTCTGACAGAAGAAGCACACCCTGTGGCTTGGTGCAAGCTAACACAGTGCGCCATTGCAATGCCGGCACTAGAAATCGCTCACGCACATCTCCACGGGGGTCGCGCGCGCCGTGTGCCGAGAAGCTGGTACGCCGCGCGAGCAATTCGGGGGGCAATTTTGACGGTGGAGCTCCCAATCCTCGAGCTCCCGAGCTCTCCAGGGGGGAACGTCGAGCCGCGCAAGATGTCTATATTTTTGCTGACTGTCTATATCCTCGTGAAGGCAGTGAACGGGCTTGGGGACCCAGGATGCGCCACGTCAGGTTCCTATATCCACCAGATTTCGGAATCTCGATCGGACGATGCGCAGACGGCCCAAGGTCCGAGGATTCGGTCCAGCCCAGCCACAGGCATTGCGGTGGTGGGTGCCCGGAACTGCACCGGGCCAACTATCCTTCAGCCGCACGATGCGACATCGGCCGCTGATTGATTCACGAGGCACAATGGCCTTTCTCTGGACAATTTTATGATAAATCGAAGTAATGTCTTGATGATGAACAGATATTGCACAGAGATGCCACTCACAAATATGTTGCGTTATGAAATGTTTCATTTCAGATTCATGCAGTAACTGCCTGCCGATACTGTATTTGACGGCTGAAAAACAATTGATGGGACTAATTTTAAAGAAAAATGTTGTCAACCAAATGTATACTTTTATCATAGCTTTAATCTTATTCATGTATTTAACATTAATTTGTTTAAATATATGAATTTGTTTCATGATATTATCATCTAATATAATGTCAAATTTTATTTTATTTTTGAGATTTAGTCTATATCATATAAACTAATCTAGGTTATTTGAAAATTATAAGAATATTTTTCTTACCAAGATTATTATTAATTACTGTTAGATCATAAGTATATAAATGCTCAAGAACTAACAACATATTGCATAATGCAAAATTATTGCAAATCAGAGTTAGATGTTGATCTATAATGTATAGTATGCATAAATCATGCATAATCAACAGGGAAGTATGAATTAACCTTGTTTTGTCTCCCCATAGCTTGTGTGGTGGATTATATATGTGTTATTGAAAAACCAATAGTTTTATACTAGAATATCAACTTACCTAAATCAACTTACTTATACAATAACGTTTACTTAGTTGAGATGATCAAATTGAACTTGATCAATATTTGAACTAATTTATTAAAATCTCCTCATCAATTTGGTGCTAATATCTTTTTTTTTTTCAATATGATTGTTTTTTGAAAATTCATAACAAAAGTTATATCATAAATTTAAATTTTAAATTAAATTTAACTATTATCAAATTGTAGTCAAAACATAATAGAATATATCATATATAAAATTGATATACTTGTTAGTGCAGTTGCTTGTTGGGGTTATATCATTATTTGGGTCAACCTTCTATTCTTAGTTATCTTTAATTGGTTGGCATTGGTGTATTTAAACTCCCAGTTGATCTCCTTTAGCTCCTTCTACACGTTATCGATTCTTGTCTTGCCCTTGAACTCATGTAACTCCTTGCTACACATTATTGATTCTTGTTTTGACTTTGAACGTAGCCTTGACGGGATGAACCATGTATTTGCTTCGTCTTGTGTTGGTGTTTTCTACTCATGAGTCTTTCTGTCATTTCTTGTGTAATTCCTAGAGTGAGTTATGTCTCAATGTTGGAAAATTCATGTAAGAAATGATATCAGAGCTTGGACTAAAAGAAGAAGCAATCGTCTGAACCTCCCTTCACATGCCTACATGCGATATGCTTGCTCGGTGCAAGGAGACGGCGACTTGACAATGACCAAGTTCAACAAATTTTGGAAGCAGGGAAAGCTGCCAGTCGGAACTGCATTAATAACTAATCGTGTCATTCTGTTAGGAGGTTTGGAGTTCATAGTAGACGTTTGTAAGGAGTAAACAAGGAAGGCACAGTTGTCAATGGTTGAAGTATAGACAGAGATCGTAGTGAAAGTCATGTAGGAAGTTCTTTTGCAGATGATGTAGAGTTATAGGATCCGAGTTTTGGATTGAGTAGAGAACATCTAGATTTTTATCATCAACAATTGGCACACAAAATGTTCATAAATAAGACAAATTCTTCAATATGATGAACAAATTTGTTGATAAAAAATTGATCAAAGCCAGACACCGGACGATTGGAGACATGTGTAGAGCAAATTCACATATGTGACTAGCGGAAATTTTTACTCTAAAGGCAAGGCGGGTGGAAGTATCATGAAGTGTGCGGGCAAATTTGTTAATGGAAGGTCAGAATCGGTCGAATGCAAGAGTTTGGAAGGATCGAGGCGGTTGACAAAAAAAAATTAGATCAAATTTGATATGATTGAAACTTCTTGGTTGGGCTCAGAACTTTTCATTGACAAAATTTCATTCAAAAATTTAAATTTTCAGTTGTGCATTGAAGCTCAAACATGCGAGATTGCGATCAAATTGTTTCTCAAAGGGAGAATTGCGATGACGTAAAGAACAGAAGATCAAACATGCGGCGTAAGCTAATAGCAAACAGAATCTAAAGACAAAAATCAACAAATTTTAACAAAACCTTACAAATTTGATCAAATTCATCATTCAATCATCCATCTAGACAGCATCATAAACTCAAAGTTGAACGTATGCGGAAGAAGGTAGCGAAAAGCAACTCAAAGAGGTGTGATGCAACGTCAAACAAGCATGCGCACAAGTGAAGTGCAACGCGCGCATATGATACGTGGCTTTGAAAAGACGCATGTAATCATTTTTAGTTAGTTAGAACTAAAATAGAGGTTATTCAAGATGAAGTTATAGTTACTTTAGCATGCAATAATCATAGATGTCACGTCAGCGATTCGTGTGCTTGTTATATAAGAATTAAGTGTGTTAATTGATGTGTTAGTTGAGAGCTCAACGTCAACAATCCGTGTGTTTGTTAGGGTATTCCGCTACATCATCTATCCACCAAGAGTGGAGTGGATGATGGGAATGAGATTTTATCTTTTTTTACTTGTTGAAATAAGAGCTATATAAGGAAGAGTAGAACCATTGTTGGTATCTCTCATCTTCAAAGTCTTTGGGTGAGCTTTTTTCTAAACTCTAATGTTACAATTGTATCAGAGCAAAATTGCTCGTTCCTTGAATGTAGAGCTCCGATCGGATTGGGTTTGATCATGAACTCAAACCTAACTCAAAAAACCGTGTACTGATTTGAGTAGAATCTGAAAACTAAAAGCACCTCTAGAATCGGTTGAAAATTCAACTAATTTTTTGTCAACTGCTCGAGATGTTTTTGTGCGTAATTTTTAAATCTCAAGAGACATATGATTTGCGCTAAGAAAATGTGCTCATGGTTGACTGATCATTCATAGACACGATGTCGTAGATGCTACTTTCAAAATTGACACATTTGACACGCGTAGATATTTCAAGTACCGCCTGTGGCTTTAGCTGGGATGCCGATCAATTCTACATCCTTTGCTTGGCAAATTTTGCCCAATATCTTTGCTGCGCATTTGCATAGCTAATCCTTGGTTTTAGAGTAAAGATGATTTATCTTTTCTCTGATATTAGTCAATCTAAATGCAGCTGGTGTTCATACTTCTCATGCTCATGAATGTTTGTCACAAATTTAACAAAGATATAAATCGATAAGTTTGCAATGGAATTGCTTATGCAGCTGGCTTGATTCAATGTAAGTAGAAGATTGATCACTCGTTAGTCGGATGACCGGCTGATATTCTTCGCGTCGTTCCCGCAATCCAAACTCAGATTTTGAGAAACGAAAGATAACATCGTTGTTGGTAATTTGATCAACGATTTTGGCCTTGCAGTTTGTGTTGTTACTAGTCTTGATTGAAATCAAAGCATCTCTTCAAACGGCTCAGGCAAAAAAGCAGTGTCTTGGAAGATTGATGAACTGATATTTCCCCCGAATCTAATAGGAATGTGATTTTACACCCATGGTTTGATTTCTTCAAAATTCTCATGTAAACGCTTGGTGAAAAGAAATCTGATCAGACCTGGATAAAGAATTGATCAACAGGTTTTTCTGTTCATCTTGTCGATGGGTGGGTGTAGGGATAGACACGACTCGATTCGACTCAAGTCAACTAACATTGGGCTGCTAGTCGACTTAGTCGAAGTCGAGTCGGTTAGTCGATGACTAAGTCGACTCAAGTCAATTATATTAGGCGTTTCAAGCCGTATGAAGCATGGTGTTGTATTTACAATGAGCATTGAAGTTAGGAACGTTTTGCCATGTCATCCAAAAGATGATTACATGAACGGAGTTTCAACATCATTTCTAGATTTTTGTCAAAAAAACGACACAAGTCAACGCGCGCAAAATGACCGCTATTGGAGAACGACAACTTAGAAAGAACCGATGAGTCATTGAACATTAGTGTGTCGCGCGACAGCAACGCAATATGCGGAAAGCACTTGACACCAGTTGCGCGCCACCATTCGATGGGGTCTGCATACGAATCATCCGCTTTTTGAGTAACATCAAAGAACACGTCGATCTCATCTTGCGTCGATGTTGGATCGGGAGCGCCCCCATCAGCAACACACGACGAGCGCTTGCATCTAGCCTTCTCCAGGAGGATCAGAGGTCTCGGTGCTTCCTACTAAGCACTTGAATTGGGAAAGTTGCCATAGCCGAAATCAGTGGCAAGCTTGCTGCGCACAAGATCCTTCAAAGCTATGAGATCATCATGATGGTTCGGCGTGGCGGGATCCAATACCACATCCAGTTTTGCAAGTTGGCTGTTCAGACTGTCTTTGTACTTGTTCAACTTGTTAAGCATAGCCTCGGTTGCTTTCTCCGCTAGAAGAATGGTAAAACCGGTTGATAATTTCAGGTCATAATGTCCTTGTAGTGGCTCTCCAAAGATTCAAAGATTAAAGAAAGCATTCCAATAGTGGCATACTTTAATCCACTCGAGGTGGTGTTCAGCTCATAGGCTGCTTGTAAAAAGTATTTGACAAATTGACTTGACGCCACTCCAATGTAGTGAGACAATCGAGTTTGTCTAAAAATTCATCATTGTTCGACATCGATTCGAAAACGTCTTGTAATTCGAAGCACGCATCAATCATCTGGAACAGACTGTTCCAACGATTATCCACATCAAAGCCAAGGACACTCTTTGTGGTAGTTTTGCCAAACCAAATCTGCACCTACTTGAATGCCTCCCGCATCTTC